CCGGCATGAACGTACCGCTCTTCCGCCCCAACACGAAGCCGATATGTAGCAGCGTTCACACACGTGCACACAGTTCCCGTCAGCCCTTTGCCATCGCCGGGTCCTTCACCATTAACCAGGTAATTTTCTGAAACCTCCTGCCAGGTTCCCCTGTTCTAGTCTAAAGACTCCTTGGTTCGCTTGTGCATTTTTTATCCTTTGCTCGATGTCAGGGTGCAGATGGCTCCACCTTGTTTTGGGCTTCCATGACAGCAACAGCTGAGCGGTATTTCATATGTTGTCTCCGTTGGGGTGCTTCTCTAACTGAACAAAAACTGGTCGATGAGATGTTGAAGAACCTTCGTCAAGCCGCTGTTTTGTTCAACCAGGAGGCGTCTGAACATTTCTCTTTCCACTCTTTGTAGGCAGCGCTCCGCGCTGTTATTGGAGGCAGGCTAGTATGACTGCAATTTGATGTGGTGGATATCGTAACTGCTCCAAAAATCGCTGCTGCCGCCGCGTGACTATCAAAAAATTGCGTGAGAATTTTGCGCAGCGGTTATATATAACAAAGCACGGTGAATTCAGCCTCTAAGCACTCTTCCGCGAGGTGAACATTCCCGAAACCCCCACACTTTTTGGTGCAAGCAGATCAAGGGCCCCAACCTGAACACATGGCGAAAAAAATCGGCGAGAAAGGGGGCGCCAGTAATTAGCCGGCCCCAAGGTAAAGCGCAACGTCGGCCACTGCTGGGGAGAGTGTTAACCTCCACTACCTTCCTTCAAGCCGCTTCGCGGCGACAGTTTGCGGATGGTTAAAAATAAATGTTTGATGAGGCGAACTCGCGCCAAAAAACTTAAAGGTAATGGACCAACGCATCATGCGTCATCGACGAAAGGGCGACTCGCCAAAGACACGCGCAAAACTGCCTTTCTTCGTGAAGTACGTTCATTAATATTTCAAAGCAGAACATACGGTGACATCCGAGAATTGAGTGAAACTTTCCACAACAAATATTGAGTAAAGAAAGAGACGTGCAAACTGCATGCATTACCAATTCCGATCGGATGTTCACCGGAATATAAATCATTGGCGCCATCCCACTCTCGGCGGCTTTCACAAATGTTATTTAAAAAAAAAAAAGTTCCCGACAGATTTCTGCAGAGTCGGCAGACTAGTAAAATAAAATATTTCAAAAGATGCCAAATTTATTTCGAAAGGCTCCAAACTATGTTTTTCGATAACCGTTGCAGACTCCTCTTTCCGAGGGGGCAAAAAACATATTGCCGCCTGCTGCTAGCTTCAACTGTTCTGTAAGAAAGAAAAAAAAACAATCCATACGTGAGTACTCTTTATTTAGCATAAGAAAACGTGTCAAGCTTATGTTGGAAGAGCAATTCCTACTTATATATATGATATACGTTGCGAAGGACTCCGAAATAAATAATAATTATGATTCATGACAACAAGCTGTAGAAAATGCACATACATTAGCCCAATTCACCTTCGTATATATTTAAGTACCCTATAAACCTTTCCGAGATTACAGAGGAGAACCGTTATGCAAGATCAGTAGAACATAGAGATCCAAATTTAAGCCACGTTTACAATATCAATATTTTGCAGAATTTCAACTTTTATGTGATAGGCGCACATAAAAAAGAGAGTAAAATAAAAACCTGTCAATCGAAGCAAAAAGCCATGGTGTCAGCTCAAGTTACACAGGAGTACATAAACTATACAGGCTGCAGCTCGAATTTAAGAATGAAGCAGTTTTAGGGAGAGCTGCTTTAGTCCGAAATGACAAGAAGTTTAGAATTTGTGAACATATACGCTCTTGCATATCTCAGGTTAATTGTGAAAATGTGATAGAAACAGGACAATATAATTCGAATATAAACATTACCATTTCAACGTAGAGTCGCTGAATTATGTGTGGGCCGAGGATTCAATAGAGAGTTGAAGAGAAGAGTTATTCGTGGCCTACTAGTTCAATGTGAGTTTCTGCTTTGACATACGTTGAAATTACGTTCCCTTGCAAACCAATGCACCTTTTTAGAAATAACTGTCACCACCTGGCAGGAAACGGTGTTCAGGAGGTTCTGATATGAAAGTACGATCACACTTGCTCTAGCTAGCAAGCGCGGGCACTCCCTCAATCACGGAAGCAAGATTCGGCTCGATCTATTGAGCTGCAGTGATATAGAATGAACTCCACCAATGTCTCCCTTTTCCCCTACTGTGGCTTATTTTTCGCCCACAAGTTCGCTCTAAGACGCTCCTCCACCCCCCCCCCCCCCTCATCCATAAAAATGCTTACGTATTTTTTAAACCAGAATTTCTTGTACCTCGAAAATGGTCCATTTCCTTTTCCTAACTACTATATTGCATGGTACTATGTCAAATGTCACGAGAAAGTTTGGCCATCCCAGTTTAACATACTAAATCAATATTTACTTTCGTTATTTTAACGTTTTCACGCACCGAAAGGTGCAGAAATGTTGCCAGGCGATTGCCCCCCTTACCAGACGGGCCAGACAAGAAACGACAGGCCTCTACCGTCCATGGTTCTACAACTCAAGAGGCAGCAAGATCTTAATTCTCTACCATGCATCAGTTCTACTTTGATCTGAGAAACAATGAATACAGTGAATATAAACATGTTAACAATTTTTCCTGTTACGATTTTGCGTCCAGTTCAGTAGAGCACACACACAAACACATACACACACACGCATATATATATATATATATATATATATATATATATATATATATATATATATATATATATATATATATATATATATATATATATATATAACGGGCATGGTGGCGGGTATATAACTGGGAAGAAAAAAACCGTGGTGAAAACAGCAACAACGGGCAATATATTCTTCGACGTTTCGGCCGGACTCCGACCAAAACGTCGAAGAATAAATCGTCCGTTGTTGCTGTTTTCACCAAGGGTTCTTTTTTCCCAGTTATATATACATATATATAATTACCATGTTCTTCAGGAAGCAGTTTTTGTTGGGTAACATCATGTCTGAAGCTTGTTGCATGACGCTTCATCCCGGCGTGCCGTGCCACCTGGTGCACCTTTCTGTGTTCTATGAACAGATAGAAAAGATTTTAGCGGCTTTGAATATAAATATTTTTGGGATCCAAAAACACCGTAAATTTATAAAACAATACTATGTAACAACAAAGGGGACTTCATCAGCATGTTCGATCCCTTTCCTTTCTACCGTCTGCCTTCCTTATTTCTTCCTTATGATGCCGGTGTGCCGCTTCGCTTCTGAACTTCCAGCCCATGTTGAATCTCTAATAAATTAGCACTTTATCACTCCATGAAAGAAAACGACATTATTGCCCGTACGTCATTAAAAAAAATCAAATATTTGCTAAGCACAATTAACAAGCCTTAGGTATTGCCGGCTCCTCTTGGGAAGTGTTCGAGAGAATGGGACTAGCAAAGGCAACCAAGGTAGCATGGTACTTTAGGTCAAAGTTTGGTTTTGTCTTGGAAATTAAGGCATTGAAAAAACTCGAACTAGCCAAGGAAGGCCTAACTTGTCCTTCTTTGGCCAGAGTATGGGTGTATTTGCCCTAATTCACCAAACAAGTTCCAACGTTACACTTCAATGTGGGCAGCTCTGCTGTCATCTGAGATTCTTGGGCCTAAATATTCAAACAAGTGCCAGAGTTTGGCTTCACTTCTGGTTGTTCGGGCTTCAGGCGGCATCTTTGGTTTATGTCTCGCACTTTGGCATTTATGTGGCGAGCTAATGAAAAGCCACGAAATCACAAAAGTCAAGCCTCAAGCACTACTAATGCCATAAAGCAAAACAGTATGAGGCCCAAGCGAGGCCCCTAGGATTGTCAAACTAGTACCGAGTTGGGCGTTCCTCTGACTTGTTACTTTGGAACTTTATGTTATAATTAAAAGCAGGCAATTCATAGATCGAGATCTTGTTTTTAATTTCAACCAGTGTTATTGAGTTAAAATAAAGCCACAAAAAAACTTATTCTTAAGAGCTGAATTTACCTTATACAAAATTAGCATAATCTGTTCTTACCTTAATCGCAGTTGTTTGCATCAAAATGTGTCGTCTTGCAACTGTAAGAAATCATAGAATCAAAAACAAGTTGGGTCGGGAAAGCTGTAGTTCGAATTCATGCACTGAATACAAAAGTCACGATGTCTTCATTTCTTCAATCTGATGTCAAGCATTGAGGTGAATTAGTCGCTGCCTAAAAAACACAGTGTTAGGTGCTTCCTTGGTTTCATTTGGAATGAATGTCGAAACTGAGTCATGTTGTTCTGAACTATAGTTTGCACCCGGTATATAGTCCGCAGGGCTAAATTTCATTTTAAAAAAGTGTCTACTTAGATTGCCCTCAACCGGTGCACGTAAGCCTAATTTGCACGTAAAAAAGTGTATACAAAGCACAGTTTTACACAAACCTTTCTTATTAGCGCCTAATAAAAGCTTGAATTCGGCATAAATAATTCTTAACATACTTTGTCATTCATTAAATTATTTGCGTGACATCGTAATACATGATCTAGAACAGAGGTTCTCAACCATTGATGTTTCGCGGACCCCTTGTGGATTGGCGGAGGTCATAGAGGACCCCGATTGTGGTGAGGGGAGGGTAAAGGTAGAGGTTAATTAAAATAATGATTTAATAAACGGATATAACTAAGGGATAGCGTAAAGTAGACTTTGCTCATTTACATACACTCGAGAAAACTCGCCCATAAATTAGAACGTATCTTTTCAACCGGAAAAAAAAAAATACAACATTTATTGCCGGGCTAGTCTGATGAGGCACGCCTTCGCGGACCCCCACTTGTGAACCACTGAAGCAAGATGAAAGCGTGTAGTTCGTGCTGCCTAAAGTTTCAGCATTTAAACATGCATATTCTGCAATCTATAGTCCATATATACGGTACCATCAGCACAAAAACTTCCTGACTAAATGGCTTACCGGTTTTATACTCCTTCGGTACCTTCTTTTGCTTCGGAGAGGGCGAGCCTTGCAGAGGTACTCAACCACAGCGATGATGCAAGCGAAGCCAAGTCCCGCCAGGAGGACGACGAAAACGCCGCCAACCTTAGAAAGTCCCAGCTCGCTCGCTGCACTTAAGCTAGAGACCCCACTGCCCGCGTCCTCAGGACACCTTCCACGTGTATCGACATTCCACCATCTTTCCTTGAGTAGCTGCAGGGTTCCGCTCTCTTGTAGTCTCAGGATGGCCGACGACAAGAGGTTCCGATACGGAGAACCTGCGGTGAAATAAGTTGCCGCATTCCTGTTTCAGACGTCAGCGATCAATTCTGCGCAAAAATTCGAATGCACAGTCCTTTCTGAAGAGAACCGCCGTGAGTGCTTGCTTCATTGTGTTACATGCCACAGCTCTAAATTGCATCATAAACCACAAGAAAAATGAAACTCTGTTCAGTTCTTCTCATTTCTATATTTTGTCGGCGACAAGTTTTGTAACCAAAATGACGGAACTCCTCATTTTGCTTTCAATGAAATGTTCTGCATAAAATGTGTATTACAGGACGACGTATAACTGCCTTTATGTGAGGTCATTTTAAACAAAAAATGTATAATAAAAAAAACTAAAAAAATGATTAGAAAATGTCAGACGGTCTTATCCATTGTTCATTATTAACTTTTATTACTTCTGATCAGTAATTTCGGTTTAGTGTGAAAGTAATTAACCTTTCAATGGGATATTGCAGCAAAAAGAATTGAAAGTATTCTCCACGAAATTTTTAGTGAAACCAGGATGATATCAACTAATATAATGACTGTCCCTTGTAGTATCTGTGTTCTACAGAGACCCTGAGCGAAATTATCATCGGAAGATTGTCAACTCTGGAATACGGTCGTGACAGCGACTGCTATCTGTATTGAGCTTATGGTGCCTGCATGCTAAAGCAGTATCTGGAGTACTAACATATCTCAGACTCAGTACTTCATCTATTCACACCAACGTATGCAATTGTCTGCTTGTCCAGCTAACATGGCGACATGTTGCATCTTCGTCTCCACTTCATCTATAGAAGGCGAAAATACGATGTTTGTCCTCTGAAACTAAAATAGCACCTGAACCAAAAATAATGAATTTACAATGGACTATCCAACCCCGCTTCTACACAGTTTGTTTTAGAAGGAAAAATATTATTGATGGAGGGGCAGTCACACAGGAGAAGGATCTAGCAAATAGTGTACCACTGAAAAGTGTACCCTTATTTAGGCCTAACAAGTGTTTGGAAACGCGCAATAAAAACATGATTGCTTCAATGATTGAAGGAAGTCAGAAAAATATTAGTTTTTAAAAGCGCAGCTCTTAGGCGCCCGTTTCCGGGTGGAGCGGCGTCGGCGTAGGCGTAACCGCGCTATATTTAGCGGGAAAATTGACATCACGCGGCCTCAAACCAATTTAACTCCCCGCTAAATTTAGTGGGGGAATTTAGTTTTTCCGCTAGATTTAGCGGGAAAATTAAGGTCACGTGACCTCAACACCAATTATATTCCCCGAAATTTAGCGGGGAACTAAATAGGTGTTGAGGTCACGTCACATCAATTTTCCCGCTAAATCTCGCGAAGAAACTGAACTTGTTCATAGGTGACCTGACACCAACCCATATGACGTCAATTTCCCCGCTAAATTTAGAAGGGAAACTGAAAGGAGGAGGAGGGGACTGACGAGGAGGTGCACGGGGAGAGGAGGAGAACGTACGGAGGAGCAGGAGGGGCATACCTCCCCCTCCTCCCCCTCAAGCGCTGTGCTCTAATTTCGCATCCCAAAGATTTGTAAACGTTTTTTTGTTTTGTTTATATGTTATTGCTACGGAGGATTGGAACAAAAATAACTTCTCCTAATCAATAATTAAAAAAAGGCCCAGGTGCTACCCTATAGAAGTCACTGGTGAAAATTAGAGATTGCACTACATATAACATATTCATTTGCTATACTCAAAGTGCAGAGTTCTAAATATATTATAAGCAGCAATTTTCTTAGGCAACCACGCCTTTACAGACAGGTGGTTCGCCCAACAGACGTAAATACTGCGGAAGAAATTATTGCTTTAGATCCCGTAATATTCTTTAGACACTGGCGCATTTAGTGTGAGGCTCTAAGTTAGAGTACAATGCGATAATCTAATGATTATTGTAAACAGCTTATTTTTCGCGATAATCAGTTTTTTGCGAATTTCGTGACCTGAATAATATCGGGGAAATATATTCCAAGAATATATTTCTTGTCGTGACAAACATACTCCACAAACCCACTTTCTCGAAATATCGTGCACGCAAAATATCCCGGGATTTGGATTTTGAAACAAGAGTTCATTCAGTTTTTATAAGATAAAATATATTTTTATACTTGACTACTCGTGTTTCAAGGAGTTTACTTCAGGAGTCAGATTAGAAATTATGACAAAGTGAACAAAAAAATAAATTGATAAATAAATAGTGCTCTTGAGTGTTTAAATAGAACACATAATACGAAATTTCTTGGTACTGAAAGTTTAGCTTTGAGTTTCATTATTGGCTGACGCAGAGTAAGATGGATGAGCCGTATGGAGGAACGTGCATTTGCGTCGACATGTCTGGACCGGTATTTGCATTTCTTTACATTCTTCCGTTCCATGGTAGAAGCACAATTCAGAGGGAAATCCCATGCCGAATCTTATAATCGAGGAGTGCGCATACTTTCTGCGGATTCATCAGACTCCACATTTCTGTGCACTAACGTAAACATTTCTTTCTTTCCTTCTAGGAATACGTTAAATACTCAAGAAAGCAAAAATTAAATAAAAACACAATCTTTTAAACAGAAGTAGATATCTTGTGGTTGATCAAGATTGCGGGTACGATTATAGTTTCAAGATAATATCGTAACCGGTCCGTAAGCAAAAATACAGCATACTCTATATTTTGTGGTTACATGTGCTCATTCTGCAGTCCTCACTATTTTCGTCAGGTAAAATATTTCTGTTGAAATAAGGGTATCTAAGATATATATACATATATATATATACATATATATGAAGATCCCCGCCATGTAAGAGATTAAAGCGAGAATTTGAAATATGTTGGAAACTAATCCCAGGCTTGACTTGGCATGTGCAGCGTTTTAATGTTTGTTTAATGTGTTTTACTTTTTTTTTGACTGATCGTACGCGTCAGACTTATAAATTTCATGGGAAAGCTATTTTCTGGACTCTATGTTTTAGATATACAGGGTGTACTATTTTAATTTGGACATATTTGTTACAAAGAAATACCTGTAAGAGGTACCCTAATGTTGTATTTGCAGATGAGGTATGTGGCGAGGAGGACATAATAATCTAATCGTTACGATAAGTCCGATAATGAACTAAAATATCTTAATTAACTTTTTAATATTGAAAGTGCACTGTGGTTTTAGTTAAAGTCTCGCTGAGCGTCATCAACAACAAAAAATCAGTCAAAGTATCGAACGATTTGAAGCACCTGGAAAAAGCGAGCGTGCATTAAAGTTATCATTTGTACAGCAGGTGCAAAGCTAGCGGTGGGGAATCTCAGATTATATTGTTATTTGCCTTCTCCCACCGCAAGCTTTGCACCTGCTGCACGAGTGGTAACATAGGCGCTCCCCCACCCCCCGCACCTTTCACATCCTTCAAGCCATTCTAAAATTAACTGTTCTAGTAGTTTTTGATGATGCTCAGTGAGTTTCTAATTAAAGCCACATGTGTATTCTTACTACTTGAAAATAAATTAAAAAAATAAGTTACTTATCTGACTCATTCTCAAGATTGGCCACCTAATAAGGTCTTCAATGCTGTAAAACTTACCTGCATAAACCGCATTAATGTGCACGTTAATTTTTTTTTGTAAAGATCTGTTCGATTAAAATGAAATACCCTGTATAGGCGATATTGCAAATTTGAAATGACGCATAGTAAGATGGATGAGCTTCATAGTGAAACGTGCATTTCCGTCGACATGTCTCAACCTGAATTTCGGAGAGTTTAAAAATATTGCATCTTTCTTCGCATTTTTACGTTGCATGGTGAAAGTAAAACTAAGAACGAAAGCCCATGTTGAATCTTAACACAGGGGATTGCATATGTTTTGGCGGATTCATCACACTCTATCTCTCTGTCCAGAAACTTAAACATTTGTTTCCTTCTAGAAATGCGTAGAATCCAAAAAAAATTAATAAAAAGCACGATTTTGCTAAAGAAAATTGGATATTTTGTGGTTTGTTGGAATCAAGATAGCGTGTACGATTAGCGTTTCAAAGTAATATCCTGACCGGTCCGTAGGACAGAATAGATTAGGCTCTATATTTTTGTGGTTACGTGTGTGTATGATACAGCACCATTCTGGAGTCCGGAATTTTTTCGTTACATCAAATATTTCTGTTTTAGTAAAGGTATATAATAAATATTTATGCAGATGACTGCTATTTAAAAAAATGTAACCAATCTATAATACGTTTGAAAATAATCCAAGGCTTGGCTTAGAATGTGCAGCATAACCTCGAAATTTTGTTTTTTAACTCATTGTGCGAGTCAGAATTATAGCTTTTGTTAGAAAACTGCATTTTAGATATACACGGTATATGATTTTAATTTTAACATATTTATCACAAAGCAATCCATAAAAGCTACATTAATTTGGCATTTGCAGGTGAGCTATATAGCCAGAGACATCATGTAAAATGCTAGTCATGATAAGTCAAATATTTACCTAAAATATTCTAATTAAATATAATTATTGAAAATACACATGTGGTTTGCTTCGTACATGCTGCACAAATGGTAACATTGATGCACCCCCGCGTTTTGCATGTGCTTCTAATCCATAACAAATTGACTAATGTAGTGGTTTTCGATGACGCTCAGCAAGTTTTTAATTAAAGCCACATGCGTATCTTTAATAATCAATTAGGTATGACAGAACGCAAATAATTATTGTACCCATTTTGAAAATTAGCCGCCTTTATAATGTTTCCCCGGTCGTATGACTTCCATGCACAAACCACATTATATTACCATTTATAGAATTATTATAAGAAATCTGTTTGAATTAAAACGAAACATCCTGTCTAGGTTATATTGCAACTTTGAAGTGACATATTGTAGTTCTTCACCACAGTCTGACTTGACGTATATGTCATGCTTAAGAAAATGTTGGCTTTCAAATAATTATTTCTTGTTTTTTTACGAAGGCTTCTGGAAATGTTTATTGCTATCAACCGCACATCTGTCCATTCAGATGTTTACACAGCTCTTCCCTAACAAGAGCTTAATTGTTGATCATGTATAGAAAAGACGGTTTATACCTATAATTGCTATATATGTTTAATGTTCCGCTAAGACACTTTTTCAAGCGTTCCCAACGTGATATACATCAAAAAATAATTGTTAAATTGCTAACTACACAGAATGTTTGAAAGGAAGGGGTGGTTGTCCAGAGAACCAACGACGTGTGCATACGAACACAACAAAATAAAACTTATTACGATTGTCTGCTTCCTTTTGGTAAATTATAAATTGACATGGAGCTATAACAGCGAAATAAAACATAACAAACGTTTCTTTGGGCCTTAATCAACCGAATGCGTTCTAGGCTGCCATGCGGGAGAAATTCGCAAGAAAGATACCTGTCACTTCAGCTACAGGAAACAGAGCACAACTTTAGTACCTTAACTCGTCTATATAACTTTAAAATATAATAATACCGAAATAGCAATCAAATTAAATTGTAAAATAACGAAACAAAATAACAATTACACATCATCTACAGGTTTTTTAAGTGTTCATGCACGTTAGCGATTCCTCTTGCGGCAAAATCTTTACATACAGGAAAATGAGGTAACAGCTTTCAAAATATTTCAAAATTAAAGCAAATTCTTCTCTAATTCTTGGTTCGTGAAGGCTATTTGTGCCTAGCTATGGCGCAGCTGGCCAACAGCATTTTACGAATCCAGGATTTGCAAAGACTCAAAATACTTCTAACCTAAAAAGGGCAACTAAACATGAGGTCAGTGTCGAACTTGAGTTGGTGCGATTGAACCATGATAATTTAAGTATTCAATATCAACGTTGTTTAAACTTAAAAGTGCAGTGAGTGCGTAGGCGAGTGGGTGAATCTTAAACATAACAAAAACCTACTGTGCGTAACGAAAAAAAGAAACACATATTCTCGCGCATACACACACATCGAAACACGTACACGCTCGCGAATATTCACACACAGACGCACACAAACACATAAAATATACGCACGAACAAGGGCGAACACACATACACACATATATATACGTACACGGGCGTGCACACGCGTCCACATACGCAGAGATAAACACACAAATATACATTCAATCAGGTTCACACGCAAAGGCAACGCCACTAACACAGTCAAGATTTTTTCGACCTTCGAAAAACCCGCTGGCATCTAAATGTGATTGAAAGACTTGGCCAACGTTAAATTGCCCGGGGAAGTTCTGCTCTCTGCGGCGTAATCAAATACTGTAGTTGGAGCATTAAAAATGCAGCATCACAATATTTATCCGTATGCGCGTGTCTCTTTCCTGAAAGAGTTAAAAGTTGTTAAATGTGTTTCGTGTTGACTTATATAAAGGGATTCAGCTATTGCTCACTGAAATTCTCACCTGTGGGCGTGGCAATACCGTATCCCTTGGAGTCCAGGAGGCCCCCAACTTGATTTAGCTGGCAGTGTCTTTGTGCGACGTACTCGATGCTAGTAGATTCCATGAGGAAGGCGTAGGCTTCGCTCAACACCCGGGACACACCCTCCGAGTTGGAATCTACCATCGAGTGCTTCATCGCCTGCCACATTCGCTCGTAAGTCTCCAACTTAGATTCCTGCACAGTGCAATCGTACGCGCGCATTTTGTTACGCTGATGATCTATCGTCTGAGGTGAACACGCCTTTGTCTTTTGAAAATGGCAAGTGGGATTAATCCAAGTCAGCAATAAATAAATATATGTGTCGTTCACGAAACGCTCAATTGTAAATCTACAGTGTAATTTACTGATCTGTTTCGTTAACCGAGAGTTGCTAAATTGCTCATGTATTTATTTGGATGTTGTTTATAATGATGTGAATATTTACGGTTGTTTTATTCTACTCGCATGCACATAATCACACATTTTTTTGTAGTTTTGTCACGAGCAATACTATTTCATCATAACTACAAATCTGGTGAAATAGGCTCCTCTGAAGCCACCACATCGACGCGTATAGTAAATTTTGTTCACATTTTGTATATAAAAATTATAAAAAAAATACCAACCCCTTGTTTTCTTTGCACGAAATATTTCGCTCAGTGTGCACCTGCAGAAGGCGATGTTAACACTAGTGTGAGGAGTGTATATGATACTTGACTTGAGGAGCAGCTATTCAAAGCTCAGTGGTTTCTTCGAATGCGAAAGGAGGTTCGTCCCCAAACATATGGGTAGTTTGTTTTGGTTCTTGGCAACACTTCTCGCTTTCTTCCACTTTTTTTTTTTTTTTTAACGGCAAGATACTTTACGCTTTTGGGCTGTACAATGTTTATCAAAAAGAAACGTAGACTGCAAAGATAAACAGCCCTCATTTAGAATACTATTTGAAGAAACACTTTTTAGTGAATATTACTAAATTATAAATACTCGGCACTTGCCTTAAAGAAGGCCTCCGTAGATCCCGATCGGACGCAGCCGTAGCGAACATCCGACTGCTTGACCAGGTCTTCGGCGCTTTGAATGGGCGAGCGGAGCCTCTCGCGAGTGAGAAACGACGCCAGGTTGGCCGTGTACGTAGAGATTGCAACAAAGGAGAAGAACCACCAGGAGGCCGCCAGCAGCCGCCCAGATGCCGACCTGACATGATAGAAAAGCAGCAAAAACATTGAACGAATTACGGTGCGACAACCGAATGATGTTTAGCAAAACACACTCGTTTAAGTAGGTATTGCTAGGGTTCGAAGTATTTACTGCTCGGCTAAGCCCAGGGTAACTTTAGGGCTTCCACTGTGAATATTTGGATGATTCCATTAGGACAGTGCCTTTACGTGGCATGTTCAATGGAAACGCGGTGCTAAGTCTGCATATATAACCCAGACACTATGCCGGAGGGCGCGTTGCCTAGGTCCTAACTTGGCTCAAGCTTTGCGATGCTATGGGCCTAAATTGAGGATAATGAGGTTTTGATCCAAAACGTTAGTTAGGTCAAAAGGTGATTTCTTCAGCCCTAAATCGCCAGAGAATTGCAAAGTTTGGCTTTTTACCCTTTTTGCCGAAGAATTACCAAACCGCCTGATATGAGCCAAATATTCGATGTGACAATCCAACAACTAAGAACTGAAGCTTAAGGGCATGTGCACAAACTTACGATCGCTTATGACCGTGTTTCTTAGAATCTTTTAAATATCTTCCGACCAGACAACAAACTCCCGCCGTCTATCGGGAAGCCGTTCAGGCATTCAGTTTTTCTATATTGTCTATATTTGTTTAGCATCATATATGTGTTTTTTTTACTTAAAACCTATCTGACGCTCTAATAAACGACCATTCTCATGATAGAAGGTACATTTAATTCCCCAGAAGTGCAGAACCTTCGCTCCAGTAAAATGCAGAGTCAGAACCACCTTATAGATGACACCAGCATGCCAGCGTATCCTCTCGTTGTAAGATGTTAGAAGAGCTCGGTGCCAAGCACATGCAAGAATGTGAACGGGTCTTAACTCTGACATTTGCTCCGAAACAGGTCCAAAGAGAGCGCTGCAATTGACAACCAAACAACCGGAGAGCAAAGTTTATAACTTTGGCACTTGTTTAGACATTTTGAGCCTCTGTACCCCAAATCTGACCAAAGATTATTAAAGGGGCTATCTAATGCTACGCGAGCTTCTCCCTTCTTTATGTTCTAACCTCACGGTTGGATCGGGCTGCTCAGAAAACACGTAGTAGCCAGGAAATATTAACGCATCATATTTTAATTTCATCCATCAGAAACAGCTCAGCGTCTTGTGGCGCCACATTGTGTAGAAAGGCGAGGCTAGTGGCCGACACTGCTAATCACAGTTTTGTAATTAGCGGTGTTGGCAAGAGCCGTGAGTTTTTTTGTTTTTCTTTTCATTGGGCAGTAAAATATACTCTTTGGTAAACCATCGTTATTATTTCAAGAAATTCTTTTTTTAGAGTGAGAAAATCGAACATAGAAAAAATGGCGTGTTTAAAATGTACTGAAACGCGGAAAAAGACACGGCACACCTGCCTTCCAACGGCAGAACCAGCCAGATGGGCGAACCGGCGGCACGAAGGTGCCCCAGTGCAATGAGCGGAAGTCCTGTTGTTGGCACCTCATTCGAAAATTGAGAAGTTGGGACTAGTCGGGGTGATGTGCGGAACGCTTATTTCTGCCGTTTGAATATGAGGTCTGTGACGTGTGTCGTGTGCAATTATCGCCGTCCAGTTTGGCCTGTCCCGCCTTTTTGTGTTGGATTGCATGTCCGTTTCAATTGGGCGAATCTAGACGCAGAAGTGGGCGCGGCTCTACGAGGACGCGCTATCCAAAAAGCTTCTTATTCCTGGTTAGGACTTTCGAGCCGGATGCGCGCTTTCAGTGTGTGCCGAAAAAAGCTTGATGCACGATGACGAACCAAAGCAAGAGTTAATTAAAACTGAGACCGACCACATGAATCAGCTACGTATTATATTCCTCTAGTCGTGCTCGCCGACATCCGTTCCCACTTTAAAATAACGAACGCCAAGTGTAAACGATAGTAGCGATGTGTGGTGAAAACAAAGTTGAAGTACGGAATGCATCTTTGAAGTGCGCTACAATTTCAAGCGTGTGCACGGCGCAATTTATGAATGTTTTTTTTTTTCTTTCAATGTTATACGTAAGTCAACGTTGAAGGCTAGCTGCAGTGTTTGTACCCAGGCCATTTCAGAGAAGGTTGCTGCGAAACGCGAGTCCATCGCGTCTGTTGCAGCCAGCCAACAGATGCTTTGATGGACGGGGTATTGTAAAATTGCTTTCGCGCACACTTCTGTGACACTTGGGAGGAAATAAATGCTTATTTTCACAGGTTCTTTCTATTATTTGCTTGTTCTTCAAGCAATACATGGTGCAACTCCTCATCTCGTATCGCTGCTTTGATCACACCACAGCGCTGGACTCTAACCACTTTTGGTCCTGCTCTTGTCAGCTCGGCGTGGCGTAGCGAAGTGAACGACGAGCGTTGTTCGGCACCGGCGCGCGTTGGGTTAGCCGACGGAAGTATAAACAGTCCATTGGTAACGCCTTTTGTATTCAAAGCCTACAGCTACGGCGATGTGAGGGGCTTTAGCGACAACGCGTGCACGTGCTCGTCATAGCAGCCATAAACCTAAGTCCCCGCCAAGCGGTCAGCCGCTTCGCTCTAACCCTCCAATCATTGAAACGTGCCGAATGTGTGACAACGCAAAGGTGTTTAGCTAGTTTCTGTCATTTTAATTTTCTTGTAACTACCCAAGTAATTTTACAGCCTCAGCTGTAAGTGGACCGTTTCCCTGTTTTTCTATGGAGTGTGAGTGAACGAAACGTTTTTCAGCTAAATTTAGCGGCAGAAGTGACGTCACGCGGCCTATGCACCAATTATGTTTCCCCACTAAATTTAGCAGAAGAACTGATGTCACGTGATCTATGCACCAAATAAGTGTCCCCGCTGAATTTAGCGAAAACATCCGCGTCACGAAACCTTTGCGCCAATTAAGTTTCCTTGCGAAATTTAGCGGAAAAATTAATGTCAGGTGTCTTAACGCCACGGGACGTACGAACAAATTGAGGTTCCCCGTTAAATTTAGCGGAAGACTTCACGTCACGTGCCCTATGCACCAATCAAGTTTCCCCTCTAAATATGGCGGGAAGACACATCACGACCTTAAATCATTTATTCATCTACAACGTATCAAACCTAGATCAGCTCAACATCATTTCAATGTCATATTTCCGAATGACGTACGATTGACGCTATGTCAATCGATCAACATCGTCATATCGTTGAATAAGCAGCACAGCTGACGCTGACTAAACAGATCACGTCGTGTGATCGTCGTAGATACAGTCTGTTATTAAAGAAAAAAAAAACTGCAACACCCACTCAGCTTATATATTATACGAAAAAAATGGATATATTGTAAACGACTTAATTTTTGCGATGAAATCATTTTGGCGAATGTCGCGAATCGCGTACCATTCGCGAAAAATAGGTCCCGCGAACAATTCCCGTAAAATGTGAACACATTGAAATCTATATTGAGATCCCACGGTGTCGCGAAAATTAGAACCCGCGATTTATTGCAGAAAATTAAACCCGCGAAATATAAGTCGTTTACAGTATTTCAATTTTGTAAAAACCCGAGCTTAAAAATTTCGTTCAAGTAGTATTTTATATGCATCTTGTCGAAAATCGTATTCGTGTCATAATGTTGTCATTTCCGCTTGATTAATTAATTTTAAGAAGGGAAGAATGTCGAGTGTCAATTGAACGAAGTATTTTCTGGAGACTTTACGTACGACACTGAAAGTTGCTATCTTCGACTAGACTTCAAAAAACTTCAGCAAGCCGTTTCCCACGAAAATAAAACGTTAAAACGAAATTCCATTTTTAATAGGCAATAATATGACTAGCGAACGCCTTCAAATGAATGTAACTAATATCCCAAAGCATCGTTTCGCTTTCAATTCGAAACTATTTTATTGCGTGCAACTTTGCGAGCTCTAAAATCACCTTCGGGGGGAAGAAAAACTTAAAAAGAAACCATTTCACTTCCACGACGTGACATTTTTACCAATGACTCTCGACGTAAGGAAACTCGAATGTTCAAGAAGTTAAAAAAAAAAAAAAGCTTTAGACCGGCACAAGAGGAGATACTGAAATTACAACGAGTCTGGAAAGACGAAAGCGACGAAACCACAGGGCGAAGGGGACATGAAAAAACTAACACACAGAGCGCATAAACAGACCACGTTTCAACGCTTTTTCAGTTTTCTTGTTGAAGACTTCGAGCCCGCTCGAAAATGATCGTGCCGCGCTTGTATAAAACATTGTAATACCGTGTGAGCGCCTCATGCGGCGTCATGATACTGCGAGTTCCACGACACAGTTGCCAGAAAAATCAATTTTATTTATATCTTATTTGCGTTGAGGCGATGTTAGACAATCTTAAAGCTCACATATGGTGAGAATGAGATGCACCTTAGTATACAATAGGCTTTCAATTTATTCACAAGCATAAAATGAAATGTTCGTCTGCATGCTTAATTAGACAGGCATCCTTGCTTTTAGCCAGCGGAATTCAATCACAATGATGGCGAGAAAAATGCGTATCACAAACATTAGCCTTGCACCCATGCAACAATTGTTAGTAACACTCTATTGCGGCTACTCACTAATAGTGTACGCATGTCTATTAAGCTCATGGGTGAGTTGCAGCCGTCGTTCGCATCCCATCGGAAGGAAATTTCTGGAGGCCGTAAAAAGAGCTTGGGCTCGGATGTGCCTTACGGCCACAGCGTGGCTGATTATTCAGGTTAATCCAGAATATACACAATAAAATGTGTCAACGTATGATCACTACTGTTTCCATGGTCAGAATTAATGTTTTTCACACATCTGCCGGTTTTCGACAGTCTGATTAAACAAAAGTTACCATCTTACTGAAGTCCAGCTGAATCTTGCCCTTCGGCGTGGCTATAAAAGCTCAGTAGAATGTATTTTAAGCAAGTGGATTAGATTGAAGAAATGCTTGCAGAGATTGTTAGAGTTTCCTTGAGTGAAGTGAAAATAATGAAACAGAACCTGTGTGATATCTTCAAACCGGTTAATGGCATTACAATAAACACAGAAGTATCTAATAATTACGGCATATATGTTCATAAGAGTTTGACTCCGGCAGAATATAACAATCCCGATGGTGATGCCACTTTACGGAAAAAATTATTTCAGCGACGATTGGAGGTTTTAGTTCAATAATTACCACAAACTTCCGGCCATTGATACCTATATTAATGCCATACCAGCCCGCGGTACACACTCTGTAATAACAAAATACCGGCCAATGTCAGATAAGTTTTTGTTTTGTTTTTTATAAACCAAAATCCATTCTCTAATATGAGACTTTTGTTACCACGCCGCAGAGAGGCAAATTTGTTAATTTGGATTATGAAACTGTTTCAATGCATTAAGACGCTTAATTGCAGGCTGAAACTATGTGCTGCTTCTTGATTTTCGCCGTGTTGGAACGCACGTGCCTCTCATTGACGTATTTAATTTAACCGCTGGAATAACAGAGGTGTGTCGTAAGAACCATAATGTTTGCATAGAAACACGCAAGGCGCAATGAACTACCTTAGTCGCAATAAGAAAAACTATGCATTACTGTTATTGCGGTGTGTGCTAACAAGTGTGGAAATTAACTCCACTATAGATACTGCAATGCTAATAGAGTGCTCCTTTGTGTGTCCTTAGAATTTCAAGAAGGTCATCTAGAAGGAGCTTTCTAAATTCACAATACATTTCGGTGTCTGTGAGAACATCAGAAGGTAAGTATGCTTATTGCGTAGCAAATCATCGTTCTCGCCTTCAGTAAACACAGCACGCACCTTGTCATTTTTTTAAATATCAGGTTTATTGATTTAGCGAGTTTAATTTATGTTTGTGAATATTTTTTTCTTTATGTGTATATTAGCATGATGATTTGCATATTTTTCTATAATTCCCAAAACTACACGGTTCCTAAATTTTACGTTATGTTACTGCCAAATGTGATATTGTTCATTTTACCTGTACTCGCACCATTGAGTACAGTCGTGCTTTTTGTGTTTTAGTTTTAGCTTATTGAATCATGATTATTCGGTAATGTGCAAACAAAACCGAGGAATTATATTCAGAATTCACCTCTATGCCATACCTATCCCGGTAGATATCTCATTTAGTGTGTTTGCGCTAACTATAAATAAATATACCTGACCTTGTGAAAGAACGAATACTTTTTTAAATATTATATTTTTTATGAATGGTTTAAAACTGTTTCCGCGGCGTGAACGACACATGACAGTTGAAATTGTGTGCGAAGTTTAGTATAAAATTGTGTACTTTACATGTAATTATATACCGGTTGTTTCCGGAAACACGAGCAAATTCGCTCCTGCGAAAACGACGCATTGTAAGGGAAAAACGCTGATCCCTTAGTTGTGTACGTCAAAGGGTCTATTAAGAAAAATTATTAGGTTTTAATACAATTCGGTAGTTAAATATTTTTTTCATATTGAAATAATTTATTACTGATTTCAAAGGCATGGTTTCAAATTTGAATCTTACTGGGCATCATCGAAAACTACTAAACGCACCTACATTAGAACGACACAATTAATGCACGTGCAGCATTCAGGTGTTGTTCTGAAAAAAATTGTCAATTTGGACGCGTTTCCGGGTTTCGGGTTTTCATCGAAGCGCATTTCCGCGCAGGCAATCTAGCCGCCCCCCCCCCCCTCCCCTTGGGTCTAATTAAAACGCGTTGCGTGCATGCGCCCCCACGCATCGCACGTGAAGGTGCGTCTTCACATTTGCACCGACGTCAAAGAGGCAAACCCCATGTTGCGGCCCGTTCTTATCTGGCCTCTTCTACGTGCGACGCTTGTGGGCGCACTCACGTTTCGCGTTTTAGACGCTGGAGGAGGGATTGCCCGCGCGGAGATGCGCTCCGATAAACACCGAAACCCAGAAACACGTCCAAATTTAGCTTTTTTTCTTAACACCGTAAAATGATGCACGTGCCTTATGTCACTTTAACGGGGATGTTTTTAGGTGTTTTCTATAATCTCAGGAAAAATCTAATTGAAACCATACATTTAAAATCAATATCAAACAATTTAGTGAGGGCTGGGAGTCACCTAAATTTTTTATTTGATTAATCACCACTCTTTAATCGATTAATTATTTTATTATTCGGTCTCGTTTAATTCCCCGCATAATACTTTAAAACTCAAAATTATAATTTTCGCTTGCATAATATTTAAAAAAAATCAAAATTACAATTTTCGCTTGCGTTTGTTTATAATGTGACAAATGGCGCAATAAACGATTTCGAATAGGAATCAAACTCAATGTTTAGTTGCGAAAAGTTCAAAGCACTCACACTCACGGATTATTACTTCAGCTACGTAAGGCGAAGAGGTTCGTTGATCATCTCCGGCAAGCAGGACCTCGTTTGATTGTTCACAATAGTCTCTGTTCTCTTAAACGGACACTCTCACGGGGTTGAAGCGGCCGTGATACCAGTAACCCTCTTCACTTGTCTGGAATTGCGCATCTTTTGCCTACAGTTTACTTTAGGTTGAAACTTCACCTAAAATGTGCCCTTCACGCAGGTGTTCTCGTTCATGTCTGCGTGGTCAAATCGTTTAGTTCTTACTTTTATTTGGTTCGACAAAATTTTATCGACTAACCAGTCAAACATTATTAATCGAGATTAAAGCATTAATCAATTAATCAGTAGGTAATTCAGCCAATTACCCAGCAAAAAAATTTAGTTACTCAAAGTTAAATAATTACCCTATTATTTTGAACGTTACTAATTTTTTTCTAAATGGGGCCTTTGACAAAGAACACTACGGCATCAACGTTTTCTTCTTCGCGATCCGTAGTTTTCACATGAGCGATTTAGCTCCCGTTTCCGGAAACACACTGAATATTTGCAACACACAGATTTGATGTAAGAGGCTTGACACCAAATATTCATGAAACCGTGCTAACAGAAATTATTGACTAACATTTATATCTTTAGATGTCCGTCCGTGCCCATGAACAATAAAAATTTCTAAGGAAATTTATTCTTAAGTTCATTCATCGCAACTTTTACAAATGTGTGAATGCTAGCTGCAGGCCGCCTTAACTATGGTTTCAAAACGTGTGACCTGGAACCCCTTTCGAATGTGGACTCATATGAATCACTGCTACCAGTTAACCTTAACGCCTAATTGGAAAGTGTTTTGTTTTTTGACATTCCCACAGCTTGTGTGCGTCGGCTTCAACTTTCAATACTGCGACAAGTAATACGACTCCTTCTATCTACAAGAAACCAAAGGAACCCGAAAGTTGTGGTTGTGGTTTCTAAAAGTTCCATATACGCTTAGAAGGTGCGTTCAAATAACCTATAATAGCCGATTCGTCTGGGTCACACCGCATCTGTGCAGTGCACTAAACTTTTTCCACTCTAGTACACGGAAGGCTGGTGGGAATAGAGGAAAGCACCCCTCTCTCCTCTAGCCTTCCCTGTACCACGAACCGCACTGAACCGGAGCCATGCGGGCAAAGACGAATTGGCCATAAGTTGTAAGGACTTCGCAACACTTCTAATTATTGCCTTATTTTGCTATCGGCGATCGCCAAGTCGCTCCTTGTGCGGCGTTGGGTGAATGATTCGCAATTGCTGGGCCAAGGCAAAGGTCTTTGCTTTTGGACACAGCACCCGCCAGCAAACGGACACCACGAACAAGCGTGCGCTCGTCAAGAGTAGACCACACGTGCAAGGCGTTAGAATGGGAATTGCAATATGGACTTCGTTGCAAGAGGCACGCTCTTGGAATCGCCGTCCGAGGGCATTGAAAGATGTGAGGTCTCGTTCAAACTGCAAGTCGCGGCGTTTGAAGAGAATGTTTGCGGATTCTTTTTTGTCTCATTGTGAGAATGAACTCCGAACTTTATTTCGCCTGTTGACATGTAAATATTGAGAGGCGAACCTCAATGGTCTCTGTCCAGTTCCAGAATTTCCCAATTGTCCTCCACAGTCTCTGTCCAGAAAAGCTAAATAAACGCGTGTAAATTGTGTTTTGATTATGTGCGGTAATATTAGAAACATAAATACAAACTTCTAGAGAAGTTCCTGGGTTTTCCTGTTTTAGAGAAATAAAATTTTCATAATTCTAAACTGCTATTGGTTTTAGTTGTTTTCCAACTGAAGAAAAATGCAATGCAACATTTTACGTGGTATTCTTTTTTTATTGTTTTACAAAGTAGGTGTGAGATTTTTCACTTACGAAGTCACGGCTTCAGAACTTCAGTAATTCAGCAATAAAATGGTGAGACATACTTATCTATAGTGAGCACTAACGAACAAATATGAATTGCAAAATATTTCTAATAGTAGTGTTCGAGGGAAATCGTTGTGTAAGAGAAGACATTTTTAAAGTCACTGGTTGTCGTGGTGATGTGCGAAACAATTTCATTTTTCTGTAATAGATAGTTCTTCCAAATTATTTTACCATACCCGCTACACCTCTGGGCCCGCCATATTAAGCACGCTTCAGAATGGCAGCACATTCCGTGGTGCGACTATCGTTCCACTAAAGGTTCGACCTACTAAAACGCCCCAATGTGCATTATATCTATATAAATGAAAAATTAAAAGAACAGTTTCAACAAGTTAAAATAATGATATCGCATCAACAACTATAGACCTGCATATTTAAAATGCTTACTATCGACGTCTCCAAATAACATAACAGGTGGGTAATGCTTCTTTGCTCCGTAGTACTATCGTTGACGTTGTATATTAGTTAACTTCAGTGGACGCTTTTGTGTGCGCCTTTGGCTTGGTTGATGAAAGACTTGCGATTGATTATTATTATTTTAAATAAGTGTTGCTTAGATCTCTTTGTTCGCGCGTTGCTCATTTTTTGCCGCAGGTCAAGATCGTAGAACAAATTATTTTGGGGGTCTGAAATACCTTACCGATTTTCGAGGGCCTCTGGAAAAAAACACTCTAGTGGAAACCAATAAAATAGCAACCCCAAACTCACCTTGGTGAAGCGTCGCAGCCCTGCTGCATGATGGCACTTATAGTGAACCAAAGGCTGTTGAGGAGCGTGAATTGATTCTTCAGTTCACTCTCTTTAGAATGCCCGCAAGGTGACAAGGTCTCTTCACAGCAACACGATCGTCTCTTGAGGCCCGACTCCGCTGGACTAAAGCGGGCTAGAAGGCACAGGAGGAAACTCACACCGAGGTACGACACGGCGACACAGAGCCACACGTCCGAAGACAACGGCGAGAGAAAGAAGAACAGCGTCCGATCACCCTGGGGCTTGCGGAACAGAATCCCGATGCCCAAGGTCATGAAGGGCATTGTAAAGTCCACCGCCTCTTCCCTTACGTACGTGATGGTCAGGTCACCCAACGCAAGGTCGGCCTCCTGAAAAATAACAGCGCTGCTTTCAGGCGCTCAACCTTGTTCGTTTAATTCTCGAACTGTGTTCAGTCGTATGTCCAGCTCACAAACAGCAGAAAAAAAAAGTATTCAGATGTATATAAAATTATGAGCAATGCAAGACGACTGGTCAATGAGAGAAATGGCAATACGAACACTGCAGTGTTCGTATTGCCATTCCCCTCATTGACCAGTCGTCCATACGAACATGGCGACCGCCATGGCGGTCGCCATGTTCGTATGCTTAAAGCAGTTAAACCGCATAGTAGAACATCGGCTTGATAAAAACATGCTTGAAGCAATAAAACCGTATAGTAGAACATCGGCCTAAAGTATACAGCCTGAAAATTGAACTGCTCATTATAAAAATATTATTGCAAATTGATAGGTAATTGGATTGGATACGTGAGACGTTCTTGCATCACAAACGTTTATCGATACTTGCAGGCACCTATATTTATGGCGCTTTTCATCAGATAATTTAACGAGTGACATATGTGCCCTTGATAGTTGGTCCTAGGATGAAGCGACACTACCACTATTCGGGCTGATAAACCTGGCGATCTTCGACAGCCTTCCATATTCTCGAGAATCTCTCTCTCAGTGCGCACAGGTGGTCGAGCTCCTCGACGCTTACCTCCCCGGTTAGGATAGGTTAGGTAAGGTAAGGTTAGGTTAGGTTAACCGATCCGCTTCGAGCAGCTCACTCCTCCTCTCCCACCCGATAACGACGATAAGCAGTGTGGAGCCGCGGCCTCGCTTTTAAACAGAAATAACTTTTATCTGGGCTTCGCGAAATTCCGAACACCTGCCAAAGAATGTGTCACGTTAAAACGTGTGACAGGGTGTGAACTTGCAATCAACCGGACGCAGTGCGGCTCCCACGCAGGGCCTCAACGCTAAATGGCACCTCGACTCGTGGGGATACGATGTGACATTTAATCAAGAAAAAGAAAAATCATCGTGATATGCTGAAAAGGCACTCGCTTAATAATCTATACAGTCTGGGTTCAATTCCCGCCTCGGGCAAACACTTTTTTACAGCGATGGCATCCTCTCCTCACACAAAACGCCAAGTTTTTACCAGGCTTCAGCTTGATCCAGGCTTCTCGAAATGCGGAACACATAACCAAAGAACGTTTCCCGTTAATGACATCACCAAGCTCAGTATTCAGGACGCTTTAAACACGACGGGCAGGGTCGCCGCGAAATGCCCACGAGTCTGCTCTTGCGCAGTGCCTTTCGCTGCTGAATTCGAACGGAGTTCGTTGAATGGCAATGTTGGCAAAATATTTTGACCTAAGAAGGAAGTTTGATAAGAAGTTTTGCCCATCACATTCTGCATTTCTGCGTCATGTCCCTTGTTACATCGCAGATTACGATTTTATGCCAAAACGACATTTTGGACTAATAATTTCCTGATTTCCCTCCAAAGACTGCAAAAACCATGTTCTCGTACTGTTCTACGGGGAAACATTTCTTTGTTTACTGCGAAGGCATTAACTGTCCCATGGAGTGAACCGACATCATCAGCTTTGAAGCCGCGCCAAACGGCACCTTCCCCTGTCCCAATGGAGCGAAGCCTGTCGTCTGTAACAAAAATCTGATGGATAGGTTCCCATTGGCTGGCGCGCGTCATCAAGGAACGAGGTTCCCATTGGCTCTCGCGCGGCGTAGTTCCAGGGGACGCCACCAGCGAAGCCCTCTCCAATGCGGCGTAACGCACGCAGCGGCCCGGCCGCCGGTAAGAGGTGTAGCGGTGCGGGCCTGGCCGCACAGCCCGCTCGGGCAAACTACGAAGGGGTTGCACGGCCGAGCTCAGCGCGGCGCGGTCACTTCGACAAAGCGCGCGCTCGGCCGTCCACGCCACCAAGCCGCAGACGAACTAAGGGAGCGGAAGAACGACATTCATGCTTTCGCGTTCAGAACTCATAAGAAGTGCTTAGGTGTCATCGGACATTTTAATTGGGGAAGATACCGATGGAAAGTGGAGACTGGGTTATGAATGTGTGTACTGTGTAGCACGAGTTGCAGCCAATAATAAAAGCTTTGCTTCTAACGTTTCTCCTAACTTGAAGATAATTATTATTATGTCAACTATACCATGACCGAAAAAAAATGACCCATCACGCTCCTGATTCAGCAAGCAAGGGAACACGTTCATTTTGTAGACATGTCATCTCCGGCATGAGTATGCACCCTTCCTCGGAAAAGACTTTTGTATATCATACTAAAGTAGATAAGTGATAATAAGGAGATCATAAAAATATTAGTGCGAACAAAAAAAGAGAAGGGAGCAGAGAAAAAAAAAATAGGACGATGGACAAGAAAGGAGAGGGCAGGCCAAATTTCTTGGTCCTTTTCTTTCTGTTTCTTTCATTAGAACGTCAGTATAAAGTAGCGTTTGTCCTCTCTTGTCCTCCCTTGTCCTTTTTCTTTCGCGTTAATATTTTTATGACCCTCGACCAACCAGGCCACAAAATTATTTTGTGACAATAAAGACCTACACGTAATTTTGTAGTTTATTTATTTTATTTCTATTATGATATATATTGAAGACAGAATTCAGAAAGAACTGGGTTGAGTTGTTTCCTAGTCCAATTCGTAATATCTATACAAGACAGCCTCCAAGTTCAAGTGTAGAAAAAGAAGCAATCATTATTACAATAATGTGCTACTGACTTCTCAAAGCTACAATTTATGTTTCGAATCCCGCAAATACCAGAGGGGGGCGTTAATACTTTCTAAGCATTAAGCAAGACAATATACAGCTATTGAAGCCCACTCTTGAGCTCTGAAAGAATTAGCGTTTCCTTGCGGTGTCGAGCAAATCAGTTGCTCCGGCAGCCGAAACGCGGCACCCTTCTGCGCGCGATGACATTGCCATGTTTATAACCAGCGAACTTACGTTGTGCTAAATTTAGCGAACATACTCACCTCCCACTGTGATGTCACGTGACACCGTGACATATTATAACATTGTGACGTGAAGCGGCACCATGACGTCCGTGACACTAAATTCCCTACTAAATTTAGCGGAGACGTACCCGGCTCAATTTAGCGGAGAAAGTATCCGGCCCAATTTGTCTAAAAGAATCCACCTTGAAATTTAGCGGGAAAACTATGACGTTATGTGACATAACATCAGCTGACACAGAGACGTCAATATGTCACGAAACCGTGATTTAAATTTTGCGGATAAATTCCCTGCAAATTTTCGCGAGTCAAGACGTCCGTACACGGAACACACATGTTACGCTGCGAAGCTTGGCCAACATTGGCTACTGCCGGAAGAGATGCTAAATGCCCAAGGGGACTTACCCTGTCGACAAGTTCGCGCACCATCCCATTCCATCGCCCTGTAGAATCTTTGGTCCCGTAGGCTCCGTCTCTTACAAGACGGAGCTGGTAGCGGAATCCGAGGAGCAGGGAAAGTTCCCGCACTAAGTCCACGCAGAAGCCCTCAAACCGGTCATTGCCACTTAGTAGGGACGCCGACTTCTTTAGCATCACGTACGGAGAATTCTGTGGACACACGGAGGGAAGGGAGCCTTAATTAGTGGTCGCACAAGTGTGCCGGCTGAATATAAACCCGCGAAACGATGTAGGAGTTGCCAGTCAAGAGACTTCATGAATGGAGCAACAATAGAACTTTTTACTTCACTGCGTTTAGGAGCTCGTGTGGCAAACAATCTGGCGTCGGCGTCGGCGTCGACATCGCCGTCGGTGAGCGCGCGTAGTCACGTCACGTGTGACGTCACACGTGGCCTTCCCGTCAGGCCCCTTTCAACCCGCATAATTTTCTAGCCCAATGCCACGGAGACTTTTCCCGCCAAATTTGGCTGGAAAGTTTCAATGAAAACACGTGACGCTACTGACTAGACCACGCACACCCGCTTGCGTGGCTTGGGAACGCGCGCGACTTTAATGAGGCGGCTTTTCGAACGGGGTCCGATAACGCTATCGCGTTCCACTCTTAAAGGCGAAGCTTAAGCGCCCCCCAAGTTGTTTAACCTCTTTTTAAATTGTGCAAAAATATTACTCAGCAAAATAAGTCAAATGAAACCGCTAGCGCGTGGTTGCTGTGACCTTAGGAAATGGCGAGATCTGTATCTTGAATGGAGTGAGATGTAAAGTCTAACTCAAGAGTAAGAAGCAAGCAGTTTATGTGTGATCATTGTGAGTCATATCTTTTTTTGAAAAAAATATCAACTTTAGATTAATATTTGGAGAGGTGTAATTATCGCAAATTATTTTTCTTATTGAAGGATCATGTGTAGTACGAAGAGTTCAATCGGGGATCCAATAAACTTAAATAATCAAAAATGTATGCATCTGTCGGAATATAAAATTCAGTCAAATAATATGCTCGTGATATGAAACTTTTATTGGTCGTTAAATTAAGTCTTAGTGCTAGACCTGGCACGCTTAAAAAAATTGACCGCGGAAGGAGGCCCAATAATCTTAAATACCTGTTGTTTTCAAGAAACACCTTGCATTTTATGCAAATGTCCTTGTAATTGCGCTACCTTCTTCAGCACAAAATAATTTATAGCTTCACCCGCCATATTTTTCATAAGACCTCTTTAAGATTCTACTCATGACTGTAGCATCAAAACGTTCATGATAAGCAGTATCTGGCAAACACGGATCCTTGCTTTCCTGGCACTATGCACAGAATTGTTTATTGTTAGAAAGTAATTGGTAAGCAGCCTACTCTGCAGAGAGCCGTCGGTTCCTCCTGAGAAGTTGTAGCTCTAAAAGTCAAAATATTTTTATAACCAGAATGCTTAGTATACTTGCTAAAAAATCTTTAATCGCAAAACAATGTATTTTTAGTTTGTTTGAACACGTTAAACTATGCAATATTATTCAACTCCAGCGAAATATTTTTGTACCATCGAGTAATCAATATTTACCATGTTCCGAAACTTTGAAATCTTACCGTATGCCTTTGTGAAAAAAGTGCCTACCGCTGCCATATTAACACGAAAAAAAGCAGAGAAAATAAGAATAACGTACTCACTATGAGGGTTGTGATCCGGAAGGTTTTTCTTTTGAGCGTATCCAAGATCTCCTCCTGAACCACGGACGTTGTGCGGGTTATTTTTAGACCGGCTTTTAATGACCAGGTTCCTATCTGCACGACAAATTTGACCACCAAAAACTTTTAGTGCTTACATCCTTAGTTCAAGGTTCATATGGTATGTTTCCTATAAGGAACTTAAGATAAACCCGTTTTAACGTCATAAACAATCCGTTACTCTAATCTCAGAAAATTGAGAACAAAATGTTCAAAACGCACAGAGTATGAATTTCCTCAGTTTTTGTAAACAAAACGATTTTACAGTATGAATATTACGAATTATGCCCTATTTCAATGCCGCATCCGAATTGCGACGCATGCAGTCATGGATGTAGCAGCATTACTGTTCAAGATATGTTTCATAAGATCAAAGTTTTGCCTGGACAGTTTGTGGAATAAGATGATAATTTATAGAGAAACGTAAACCAACACTAAGTCTCGGTGTTCTTATCCTGCATTACGCATAGTCTTTACTAAAATATGCTCTGTAAACGGAGCGTAGCTCAATCTGCCTGTCGCATCAGTGGCGCAATACTGTTCCTACTACTTGCCTGTACTGCGGGTAAGTATTAGCTCCATGTGTCTTAGCCCCAAGTGCATGAAATATTTCGAAGGCTAGACAAGTCGAGAACATTGTATGTTTTCTCATTACGCAATGGCGCTACATTATATCTTCGATTCGGAAAATTAAGTAGTATCTGAACACGAAACCGGAGTCATTACACTTGCTTTTTCATGGCCATTTATTTCTTATGTCTGAAATTCAATCATCATGATATGTTTTTCTATTTATGACAAGGCGCATGATATTGTGTAGATAAGTCACGACACGTGCTTTCAGAATTCCCTTTGTCTTATCTCTGAATAGCAATCATACTTATATAAAACTTTTTCTTAATAGGAGAGTGCGCATAATATTGTGTAGATATAGATCATACACGCTCTCAAGAGTGTGTCGTGGTGTCGTATATATATCATGCACACAACGATGAAAGTGAACAAATGCACAAAGGCTTTGATGCTGCCTATGCGTGATCTAAAACTAACCATTAAGATACATCATAAATCAAATTTTTGTTATTACTATCTCTAATACAATGACACCTTTTTTATTTAAAGTGGTGACTAATTGTCGATTTAGTACAAAACATCTCTGCTGCAGCGCTTTTGCTGCATATTTGAGCCGGCAGAATGCACGAGTATGTGATATCATTGCCCCCACCCAATTTCTTGAAACGAAATTAATTTTGATATAGACTTAAACGATAATATTTGTTAACCTGACTCTGGAAGGGTGCAGTGTTCGAGTGTGCAACACCATCTATTGCGGGTTCTTCGTGATATGAAACGTTTTCATTGAATATTCAAAAGCTCCGGTTTAAACACCAAAGGAAATGCAAGGATAAATTGGCCGGAAAGCGCCCGCTGCAGAAAAATTAATAATCACCCCCCCCCCCCACACACACAGTGATTCTGCGTCCAGTGTGCTTTAAATATTTAACAATGCTTTTCTCGACAAATAGCAGGCGTCCCCATATATATTTCAAAATGATAATGAATTTTGAAACAACATTATTACCAATTCACTTGTTAAGCAATAATTTGGAAAGGTACAACCGTCAACAGCTAAAATTAATTAAAATAATTGCAAACATAATCATTCTTACCGAGGCGAGTCCAGCCTTTTTCAATTGTACGACGTGGAGTGTAATATTCTCGCGTCGGCCGAAGCGGTCCAAATGAACGGGGCCTGTCAGTCCAAAGAACTGTATCTGCATAGAGAGACAAACATATTTTGAGTGCCCACCCAACGCATAAAGAACGGTTTCTGCTGAAAAAGGGTTAAGAGCGACCAGTCGTTCCTTTTCAAAACAAGCAATGAGGAATTTTTACTTCCAGTTGCAAAATCGAATATGCAAACACATGCTTTCTCACCCAACATTTATTCCACGATACCAAAATTATCAGTTTCCCCAGGTGTCAATACTTTTCGCACGGTGTGCTAGAGGCAATATATGCCGAAACGAGTTTTTAACTCACACGTAATCTTTAGTAAAATCAATTGAATATAAAAATATACCCCTCTGTATGTTCAACTGTTATTACTGACCTTAATATGAACACCAGCTGGTGCGCATTACTTCGATAATTTTTTACAAAGATTTCTACAATATTCTTCGTTGTTCATACATCTTGATTATTTGATATAATGCTACGAAAATAGGTTCAGAACTAGCTTCTGGGTGGTACATATACATAGGTTTAAAATATTGCACTTAAAAATTTATATTTTTGTGGCGGTCTTATTTACAATTCTGCTATACTTTTTGTTTCTGGTGGCGTTCAAACATCTTTCTGTAGAAGGCGAAATGTTAACGTGTTGTTAAATATTTAGCAACTGTAAATAAATTAGAATTTGTTTCAGGTAAATTATATTTTGAAATTTCGTGTTCATAGTTTCTTTAGCACTGAGAACGAAGACATCATTGTGAATAAACCAAATTTGTTTGTTAGGGGAAAGAAGGAAAAAGGCTAGGCTGAAGTTTTTGTATCCTTTTGCAGATGATAGGGCTTTCTATTAATCGGCACTCATACCTACAACCCGTTGCTACGAGACAGACCAGACATTATCAGCCACACTTACTGGCACCTTACTTTTCTCGCACCAATCTTTATAAATTTTCTTTTTCCCCAGGACAATTAGACACTGGAATTCTCTTCCCACTGAGTTAGCCGTTTTCTCCCAGTTCATGACTTCATAGGTCTTCAGTGCTACATTTTCTTCTGCTGCAGGTGGCTTTTTATGCTCTGTATGATAGTTATGTATCTGTGCTTCCTGCTGAAGCTGTTGCTTGTATATTGTCATGTACGGCGTGTAATTTACTGTAAGATTCACTCCTGCTTGGACCATCTTGGTCTGCATTATGTTTTAAATAAAATAATTCACTTAAATATATCTGTCTATCTGTACAACTTTTTTGCATTCTTTAAAGTTTTAATATTGCTTTAAGCAATCATGCAATTATTTAGGAAATATTGTCACGTGCGTGGCGCAGTTTGCAACGCACGTAGTTGGCACTCGGAGGAACGAAGCAGGGCCGGCCTTAGAGCAGCAAGCGCCCTGGCAAACTGCAGCCGTGGCGCCCCCCCCCCCCCCCTACCCCATCAACTATTTTCGCACCCAAAATCACGTTGTTAGCAAACATATATGCCACAGTGACCCAGCGCGAATGGTCGCGATTTTGTCGTTGTTTGTCGACAACCACATACTAAAATGAACGACTTTCGCAAGCATTGAGAGTTTTGTCGGCACCGTGTTCAAAGGTTCAAGAATCATTTATTTCTTAGATTAACCAAACTTCAGCTGTGGGTCTCCCATAGCAAGCTAACGTCTGATGAGCAGAGAAAACAAAAGCACAACTTAACCATGCTAAATGCCCTAGAAGGAAACCTTCCGAGCCTTCAACATCGCAAATCGGGCTACGTCTTGCGACATATCCAGGCTAGATGCTATCCTGTTTTTAATGGACAAAATTGCCAATGACGTCAAGATATCCTGTCATTTTGATAAACTCCTCTCAGCGGTGGCCACTGACCCTGGCAAAGTGAGGAAGACCCTCAATGACACCCACGTATAAGGGAATTTGTCACACAGATGGTTGTCCAGAATGAGCTGGAGGGCGTACTGGCGAGCACTGCAACCAGTGGGCAGCAGGCTGCATGGTTAGATCAGCTCCTCGCAGAGATTTGTACCGTCGATATCTGCACTTTTTAGGTGTCTCAGACTCTCAGTTCATGGTCAAGGCCTTGGAAAAGTTTAAGACGTTCTGCTTTGTCGGGAAGTCGGGTAAGGCCGTAAAGGAACCCCCAGAAGCTCACGTGCTGCTCCATATGCGTGAAGCGTTTTTTTAACGACATCTTACGGTGTCAATCATCTCGTAGAAGAACTCTCGCTTGAATTTTGTCTCTACATCATCAACCTCGTCTTGGCACTCATAACAGAATTGGCGCTTTTTCCGCCGCAGTCGAGGGGCCGGTTTCATCACACTGTCAACACCCATGCTCTCGGGAAGACCGTTCGCAGTTGCCATGTGCAGTTTCGTACCCGACATCGCTATAATTGTCGATGTAATCGCTGCGTGCTTTCATCAGCTGTGTGGTTGCTACGATGTCTTTCATTTTACATTGCATGTTCTGGCTTACATCATTAACTTGAAAAAAGAATGTCGTAACACATAACAATGTAAACTAGAAACTTAAGGTCCGTGAGCTGCCCTGCAAGAGTTCGAGCTTCATGTCGGAAGCCAGGGTCTGCCTGCTGTGATTCGGCCATTCTTGCGCAACATTAGTTGCGCAAGTTCGGGATTCTTGCGGCGGGTTTCTGAATTTTGAGTTGGCAACACTGTATTCGGCATTGCGAGTCCGGAGTCATCGCTGGTTGCTCACACACAAAAAAAAAAGAAAGAGTTGCGGATCCAAAGTTCTTTACACATATTATTTTCAGTCCGGTTGAAGCCTCTGGGCACAGAGACTCACCGAATGCCGAGGGGGTATGGGTTCGTTGAGCATACTGCAAGAGACTCCACAGCGAGCGTTGCCCAAATTGCACCTCGAATGTCGGGAGGAATCAGGTTCATTTTACCCCCCAGACAGACCTCCTGAGTAAAAGCATTCTTCGGCTCAGAATAACTTGGCAAAGGGCAAAGCTGCATTTTCTGCGAGCCAATCAGAGACTCTGAACGGAGCACGTGATAATTAAGAGCAAAAATCCGTTCCAATAGCATTTTGTCCCGTGACTCGCTCCGACACACTGCTTTGCTCGCCGATGAGTTTGGCGCCATCGTTTGGTAAGTTGCGCTAAGAGTACGGCATGCTGGCTCCATCGCTTTTTGCGAGTCAGGTTTTGCTCCGCTCGTAATTTGAGAGCCGTGCGGACGTGATCGTTTGCCTAGTCGTTCATGATTCATTCCATGGCGCTTTCAATCTCATGGAGGAGAGGTTTTCTATAGTAAAACATATTCGCAAGTGGCTGCGAGTTGATGGACGCCAGTTATATCGGGAACTTAGTCGTTGGGTTTGCGGCCGAAATGCCGAACGGCCAGCGCCACCACCTTTCTCTACGTGAACGGGAAGGGGGGGGGGGGGGGGGGGGGCGCTCTTCGCGATGTGGTCGTTCTTTGCTTTTGATTTTATCCCTCGATGTTTGAGCCCTGCATGACCTGGCGGCCCTTTCGGCGCCCCCCCCCCCCCTCCCCTCTATGAATGGCACCCTGTGCGGCTGCACAGGTCGCCCACCCCAACGGCCGGCCATGGAACGGAGTGCAAACTCCGCTCAGCTTTTGTCTTTCATCAATCTTTGCTTAGCAAACTTGCAGCCGATTCTCAACCGTCATTGTGTGTTCTTGTTCAGAACATTCCTAAACAAAAATGCGCAATGTCGTTTCATTGTCGTTGTCGCAGCGCGGTACCTATTTTTGTATGTCTTACACTCACAAGTTCGCCTCATTAAATATTTATTTTCACTTCTACGTTTCTACATTCATGTAATATTTTATTCGTGGCAATATTAAGTAAACAGGACTGCAGAACTGTTTCCTTCTCGAAACATACAATTGGAGGCATTTCCGTAAAAGGCATATTCATAAACAAAATAATTATTATAATTTTTACCACGAATAGCTCATTTCAGAAGCGTATTTAAAAGAACTAGGAATCTCTTTTTTCTTTGTGGTATTAAAAATATTGCTAAAATGTCCACGCTGCAGTTTGTGTGTTCAAAAGATGTAAAACCACGAGGTTTTATAGAAATAAAACCACATTTCCTTTTATAATATATAATCGCAATTTTGTTTTCTGCTTGTGGGGTACTGGATCATGTTCCGCCAGCAAGCTTTTCGGCCTTGTATAGATGCCGGACCTTTCAGGGAACGCCTAATTCTTCTGCAAAATAATGTATTGACGATATGACACAAATAGCCTAAACGCGAAAGCGGTAATTTAGGCATTTCAAATTCTAGAGAAGAAAATAATATGCTCGTATTAATTTGTGGAGATGCTCATCAACTCTGCGCAAAGCACCACGAGGAAGTAAAAGAAAGTTGAGGAAATATAAGGTCTAAAATTTAAAACATTAGCCTCAATTGGAAAGCTAAATTTATTAATTTCTTGGATCGGTTGGTACTTTTACTCTAAGTAGCCCAAAATCTCACTTCTACAGAGTTGTCCTAGGCCACGTGAAAATTTGTTATGAAAATGAAAGGTAAGCAACGCTTATAGAGAAGTATATTGTCACAATTGAAGGCGAAGAGAGATGAGTAATGAAAATGAACGTTTAATGGGGCGAACTTTTGCCCAAAACAAACAAACAAATATAAGGAGTAAATTAAGAGAAGTACAGAGCAAAGCGGGTATCGGATCCGGCTAAAACGCAAAGTAGAGCGCTGGCGAAAGAGTGTGTCGTCGTCGGGAGAGTCTAAGTGAGTCGGCAAGAATGCTCTGAGCTCTTTATCTAATATGTTCGGTCTCTCGAACATTCGACAAATATCGTTCGGGAGTGAGTTAGGGCGAGACTGACAATAGCAAGGTCCCATTCTGACCTCTTTATCTTTTACATTCGAGGTAAGAATGAAGACGAAACTTCTAGATCTACGGAGAAGCGTTCCTTCTCTGTCATGCGCGTGGCAACATAAATATTTCTGCAAAATATATAAGAACATAATTTATTACGTCAGCTAGACTTTTCCAGATGCGATGAGGTACACTTGCCTAGCTG